GCGAGTAATTTACTTTTAATGATAGCTGCAGTTGAACTGCTCGCCTACATGTTACCAATCATCTGTTCATAAATAGGAGGTCTTAAAATAAGCCAAATTTTGACGGCATATAAAAACTGATAGCTTGGATGGAAATATTTGTTTGTATAATACGAAACAATTTTACCACAATTCTTTTTCTTTCATGTTGTTCAGCTCTGGTTTAAATTAAAAAGATACGTGACGCAGCTCCTGCTAAGAATAATGTTGCAAAGGTAGATCGGAAAGGAATGGATATGACAAATGACTTTTAGGGTAAACCTATAGCTACATATCCTATGTCCGAAATGAAAGCTCAATTTATGTACTAAACTGAAGACTAATGATGAAAACGTACCTAGTGATAAATAAGATTTTACTTGCAATGTTTTGTTATGTACTGTTGCAGTTTTCACTCTTCATTTAACTTCTAATCTCTCCGCATATAAAAGTGCCCAAAAAATTGCAAATGTTACACAAATTTTAATCGTGGCGAATTTTAGCCGTTATAAAATAGTTTATGCCTAATATTTTCAATTTTGCTAAGCAGTAAATTTTTAATGTGATTGCATTAGCTTTCTTGCTTCAAGGCAGTGAAAGACTATGCAGCATCTTTCATTCAAACATATAAATTGAAAGAAAATAAAAATGTAAGTGTAATACATGTATTTATTTATACATCTTGAACATGAAAAACAGCTGATTACAAGATATATTTTATCTTTTCAAGAACTTTACAGACAATCAGTTTGGATTTTTCATTCACATCATTTTGTTTTCATATTTCTAATTGCATTTTTACATGTTTTTATATATTCTGATTTTGAATTTACATTTTTTTTACGTTTTTATGTATCTAGGTATAAGAAAGATTGTGAACCAAATGACGGGGAATAGTGAAACATCAAGGCTGTGTCTCTGAAGCCCTTCATTCACTTTCTCGTATCAACTGTGCATACTGTATAAAATTTCTTTGCTACTGCTTTAACTTTTTTCTAAAAAGGCTTTTCTGTCGCCAAGCCTTTTTCTCTTTGAAGGGGCGGAATATGTAAGATAAAAAATATGTAAATAAAGATTATAACTTAAACTCGCAATAGTCCTTAATTCCCGCTCTCTGTTTTAAAAATTGTAATAACGTTTCTGGACTGCGCCATTTCTAGATCATTTTATGTCACATGGCTTCCGTAATGCTCGTAACGCTGATGGCGCAGCTTATTCGGAATATGACCTCAAAATTTCAAGAACTGAAACCTTTCTCTTAATAGGCAACCTAAACCAAAACCTTCTCTTGATGAGCCTCCATACTGGATAAATGCGCACTTTTGCTTCTACCTTTGTTGCCGCTAGGACGCTACTTCTCTCGCTTAACCTCTGCCAGTTATTGTCCATTGTTCTAAAAATATAATCTGTATAAAATTGTGGGGCACATAGCGTATCCACAATGATGATCTGAAATGAAAAATAATATGTGTCCTAAGGTATTTCTCCCGCTTCCTTAGCATGCCTTCGTAGTGTAGTGGTCAGCACGCTCGGCGCGTATTCGAGAGGTCCGTGGTTCGAATCTCGGCGAGGGCACAGCTCATTTTTCATCTCTCCTGCTTTCAAAACTGCCGTTGTCATTTATCAAAATGTAGAAACATATGGCCGTATTAGACATTACTTTCTAAAATACTTTTTTTTTTTTTTTTTTTTTAGTAGTTTCGGCATTTTATTGACTTTCAAAAATTGCGCAGTGTGCGTGCAGGGCTTGCTCCAGTTCATTTTCAAGAATTTCATCCTGTCACGCTATTTGTACGTGAAAGCCTGAGAAGAGGCGACCCAATAATTCATTTTGTCTACGAAACTTACAAGTAAATGATTCACGTAATAACTGAGAAGCGAGTCGCTACCTGCATTCCTTTCTAACTCTACAGACACTGATAATTGTGTTATTTTTCTGTGATCTAGAGTAGTTATTGATGGATGCAATATTAAGATTGCTGTAATGATGATGATGGCATTTTGCAACTTCTGTACGAAAAAAAATGGCGGAATTATTCCTGTTTCGCATTTAAAGCAAGGTACAAGCTGACATGTTTTAGCGTTTAAGTGTGACAGTGTTTTAAACGAAAGATTTTAATCAGATTTACGTTTGACAGCAAATGACAAAAATACCTGTAAAAACAAGACAGTCTTTTTCTTCTTCTTTTCTTTTTATTCAAGTTAATGACGTTAGAGGCCGCTTTTGTAAGTGACCGTGATGAACAGTTAAAAAAGAAAATTTGTTTTACAAGTTATTATATTATCAATAATCTAGTTGATGTTTCTGAATTTTGAGCTCTATTTGTTGCTGACGGCTCCTAAAAATCGATCTAAACATTATGCCAATAAAATAAATATAAGTACCATTCAAAAATATAGAATGTAATATTTGTAGTTATTCTATCCTATAACTTAAAAATAAAATTATTATAATCAGTAGGTATGAAACGGATTATCAAAGAATCACCTACCCTCAACTCGTTTCTGCAAAATCTCTTATTCTCTTATATTTCTTTATTTATTTTATCTCTTATTTCTCTAAATCTCTTATATTTCTTTATTGATTTTTATCTCTTATACAAAATTTCTTCAAAATTTCTTATTCTGCGCAGTATAAATTTCATATATAACTCATAAACTCTAATTTCCTAAGCTACAAGTATAATAAAAGCTGTGAAATCATTTAAAAACAATGTTTTTATAATAAAGGTCACCTGACTGTATGGCGAATATGGCCTTGAATGGGATTCGAAGCCATGACCTCTTGATCTCAAGACTAATATTCTTCTAATTTAGAAACTGACACGATCTTTCTTTTTCTCCTTCAAAATTGCAGATCGCGGATGTTCTTATACGGTTACTGTATGAGTAGAATTTAAAACGTTAATGTCATTATCATCTGGCCTGTACAACTAAAATAGTAAATATCTACCGATATCTTAATAAATTCTGATGCGAAGTATAGTATGCTGAAAATGGATACCATTTTAAAATTGCCTTTGAAATTTGCGAAGGAAAGGATGATGCTATAAGGTTTACTAGGTAAAAGTAGAGTACCAAAATCCCTATGGTAAATATACCTTTATTTTATTAGTCAAGTATCCGGCAACAATGCCTGAAGGAAAAAACTCCACATTTTTAGATTGTTTAATATTCAGATTTAGAGTCCAGGTCAATGAAACTTAATTCTGTATTATTTAACTTGGCTTGATGCAGAAATAGTCTACGAAAGAAAATAAAAAGTAATTTCATGCTTAATTCTGTAAAATAAGTATCAAACGTACTTCATTTTACAGAAATGAAAATGCTTTTTTAACTGTGTAGTCTTTACTGAAGTAGAATACGATAAACGAAAAAATCAAATCTCCTCAAAGTGCATTACAGTAAAAACGTATTTGGGCTTCAAAAAAAAGGTCATCCGAGTATGCGTAGTTTTTTAAGTATGAGTGTGGGCTGTGATTCCACTCAGTTCAGATACAAGGACTTCTACAGTATTAAGATTTAACCTCGTGCAATACTCGTGCACTTAAACATTTCATGCATTTGAATGATCAATCTAAAACCGTTTGTGCATGGAGTATGAAAATGCAACTTAAAAAGTATATAAATTATAGTGCCTAATGGCGTTGCCCTTGTTTTCAAACGAAATTTTAGAATGAAATGGAAGTAATTTGTGAGAGATAAAAAATGTCTCGAAGTTAAAATATTTCAAGAAAACGGAGATAGGCCAAGTTGATTACAAATAGTTTAGGTAAGAAAAATTCGATAACATTTAAAAGATTTTGTTATGTGTACTCATATGCATGTGAAAATATTTTTGTGCTTGTTGTACGTTGTTTTTATGTCACTAGAAACAGAAGAGGCTGCTATGAGATACAGAGTACGTTTCCTTTTACTTAGACCACTTATTATCTAAAAAATTACATTTGAAGTTTTTCTCTTAAATTTCGTTCTTATTTTTAAGTTAAAAAAATAAAACGTTTTTGGTAATGTGAAAACTATAATGTGACTTAGGTGTAGCAGAAAAACGAAACGTAAATATTTTTTATTGCGAATTTTGATATTTTAAACATGTTCGGTAAAAAGATGTTTAATAAAAATTTCTAAAAAATTATTTATTTTTTTAGCTTATAATTTATAAGCTGAAATGTTTCCAGAACATTTCCCAGAATTTTAATTTAGCTGAGTCTTAAATGAAGCTTATTTAATACATTATGTTTTTATCATATAAAAACAGCTAGAAATATTTGTTATGAAACAAACAAATTTTGAAAGCAAGATATTCTCACAACTAGAATTATGCGAAAAGAAATGCAAATGGAATAACATTGAATTTTACTGATTTTGAGAAAAACTGTGACAAAAAACTAACTTATAAACGTGTAACACGAAACTCTCCCCGTTTTAGAATATTTGGCTCACTATCCCATAAGTGAAATGGATCTCTGAATTTGTAATATTGTGAATGCTTAATCCTTTGCTGCATTTAAAATTTCTAAATACTAAAAGGAAATATAAACAGAATTTCAATGCCTACTTTTTGTTTATAAATGAAAATTAGTCATTTATAATCAAAATTTTAACTTTTTTATTTAAAAATCAAAAATAGCTGTTTTGATCAAGCATGTTACGAAATTAGAAATCGAATTTTACGAATGTTACGAAATCAGAAGAAGCATTTTTTTAAATCCAAACGAAAGGTTGCGCCATACGTTTTCAGCAGTAGTTTTTTAAAAAATTTACGGAAAAATTACGGAAATTTATGGAAAAAGCAAAATAACAACAGAACTTCAGGCAATTTAAAAATTAGCACTTAGTTTTAGAATAACATGCATTCGAATACAATATGCTTCAAAACCTTACAAATATTCTACTTTAAAGAAAACGGTCTGCCATTAAAAGAAATTCTTCTCTATTTTTAAATAAAACTTCTGAAAACATCATTAAAACATTAATCTTACCTTAGAAGATCTTCCACTTCTAAATCTCTTGGACGGCCATAATCTAGCAGCTGCCGGCATATATTTGTAAACGAATGCTAAAACCATTATGGGAGTATGAGTAGCCCTAAATTAATACATAATGAAGGTTCTTTGGAGCACGCTTCAATTTTCAAATGCACGTTAGGTAATTCTTCACCCACTCAACATTTGGCACTTTATCAGATTCTGTTCATCGTGGGTAACAATAGCTTTTTCTGTTTTAAGTAATCACGTTCAAATCGCTCAGAATCTTGTTAAATTGAAAATGCAAAGTCTCTTGAGTTAGCGAGGACCAGAAATTCTCTGATGTAACGGATTGAGCAAGAAACCGCATCCGCAAGGGTTTTCTGAAGATTTAGCTTCGCGGCAACTGAGGTACAAAAGTGCAAATCTGGGCGTATGTTTAACATTCCGGAATGAAAAGAAACTTGCACGACCGCTTTTCCAACTTGGGTTCAAGGGTGGGGGTTCAACATGGGGTGTATTGACATGTACCTATTTCTTTTTATTTTCGGTTTCTTTTAGATTTGATCTAAAACTAGTTGGGATGTTTTCTAGGAAATCCAACTTGAAGAATGATGTTGAACAAAAATAACTGCACAGAATTCGTGACATAGGAGGGTTTGAAATATTTTTTATTTATGAAGGCTGTTGCGAAATGGAAAGTAAAGGAATGAATAATAGCTTATTATAATAATGATTCATAATTCTTCAAAAAATACTCTGGATACCAAACCAAATCTGAAGTTTAATATAATGAGTTTTAAAATACATTACCAGAGAAAATGCAGTTATTGAGTGCTGATATTTCACTTAATAACAGATTCATTTCACTTGTCCATTATGCTTCAACAGCATTAAAAATGCTACATCTTCAAGAGATTCTTCCCCATTGTTTGCAATACTGATGTACATTTCACATAACTGTCGATATTTCTAGATCTCTCTGTAAAAAATTATTTCTTCAAAATTATTAGTAGAGCCAGAATAGGATAAGAATATTTGAAGTCCCGTAAAAGAAGAATAATTATGAGCAGAAAAACTATATTATTCATGCTGGATTCCTTTTATATAATTGGAATTTTTCTTGCAAATATGGTACTCAATTAGTTTTCTTTCTCTCGATATTTTTTCTTAATTATTTCTTATAAAAAATTGTAGAGATTTCCTCCCCCCCCCCAGAACGACAAACATTGAAACTCAGTTATGCGTTCGCTAGGATTTAATACACGGACCTTCAGTTATTCTACCAGTAGATATTGTTCTACCAGTAGATATCCTTCAGTATTCTGCATGCTACCAGTTCTACCAGGATGGCATGCAGTGGAGGAAAAGTACTTATATTCGTCCCCACTTAAACAATGACAGGTGAGAATGGAACGAGACTCAGTCGGCCAACTGCAAATGATGACAAATTATCGCCCACGACATTTTAGTCGGCTGCTACTGTAAAGCTGTTAGAGAATTTTTAGAGCGAAAAACCATCTATGCCCTAGAAAGTAACCATGGATCTTCCGTTGTGTAACCAGCTACAGCCAGCTACATCAGCAGAGTACGCATGGGGGGATGAGATAATCCCTTGTAAACTTACAATTTTTGATACTACTTCAAACTTATAAATTTAGTTTCTTTTTTGAGATATGAATATTCAGGAATTAGTAGCTTCCAGAATAGGCTGTTTAATTTATAAATGTTCCCTTCCCCCTCCTAGTTTAAGAAATCGATTATATAAGATAATTTTAAAAACTCTGAAAACTCACAGAAACCCGACAGTTACATAGTAGTAGTTATTATCATTCGTCCTACTTCTTAATATTAATTAGTAAATTACTAACTAAAAATAATTAACATAACTAAAGAAATTAAATTTCATATCTTTAAAAATTTTATAGTAAAACACTACCTCCAGAAAATTTTTGAAGAACCATTAAACTAAATATTCAGTGTGTTAATTACAACTATTTTAATCGTTTGCATTCAAAACTTTCTTTCAAAATGCCCAGCGGTTGAACTCCGGCACAATTTTGTCCCCCGATTTTTAGCCACTAAAGTAAAATGCATTTCCTTATTTTTTTTTTAAACCCCCCGGCCGAACCATAGTATAGGCATAGACAAACAAAACGAATGTCTATAGCCCAGCATATTGAGGGGCCTTCAAAAAATTTACAAAAAAAAATTAATAAATAAATAAACATTTCCTTTTAATAAAATCCACAGGTCTGTTTACTTATTTATATGTACTGTTGTAAATGATCTACTGTGCGTAAACAATTCTGTCTGACTAACTGTAGAATGGGACATAACACTGGGAATAAGAATGCAAAGTATGCGGCGACGCGGAAGTCTAGTAAAAACATTATAATCAACCACAGTATACAGTAGACTACATACTCAGTACGTGCCTAAGATATAAGATTTAAAAGGACCACATATGTACCTGAGATTTGACGCAAGCAGTTGCGTGAATACATGAGATCTCTTGAACATAACGCTAAAAATGTCTTCACAAAAAGTGGAAAAACTGTAATTCGGCCATTGAAGAAAAGCATTTTTATTTGGCACAAAGCAAACGAGGGGAAAAAAAACTGAGCGTCAATGGTTAGTGTACAGTCCAAAAAATAAAGCAATTCACTGCTATATTTGTAAGATATTTTCGATGAAACGAATTTGACAGAAGGATACTCGGACTGGGAAAATGCGAAGATAACTGTGCAAGAACACAAAAGTTCATCTGATCGTAGGCATTCTGACAAAATCTTAATAGAAGAAGTTTAACTGTGGGACGTATAAACACTATTGCTGAAAAGAAGTATTTAGAAGTAATAAAATACTGGACAAAAGCACTACGGGTAGTAGCAACAAGAAAGTTTTGGGCTGAAAAAAATTCCCTTGCATTTCGTTGAAGTAATGAACTTTTTCTTCTTCCCATAATGGTAGTTATATAGGTTATAGTTACATAGGAGCTCTAAAATATCTGGCAGAATTTGGTGAGTTTTTAGGTTGGTTTATAAAACAATTTGAATCATCTGGAAAAGACAATGTAAGTTATATTTCATCATTCATTTGCGATGAATTTATATAAATACTGAACAAAAAAAATGTTAGAAACATTCGTGTAAGAAGTTAAAACCGCCAGATATTTTTTAATTATAGACTCTACTCCTCATATAAACATATGTAAACCAATTAACTTTTATATTGCGTTATTTGTCATAAAATGGAGACCAAACAGAGAGACATTTCTTCATTTTTACCTTAGGTCTGGATATTAGTAGTTAACTGTAGAGAAAAAAGCTACGACAGTACGGCAAATGTGTAATAAATAATAATGGAAAAATACAGTTGGGTCGAAAACCGCATTAAAACGTAGCCAAATTCTACGTTGCGTTCCTAGTGCTTCATATTCTTTAATTGTGGTAGTAATCATGTTTGCAAGCAATAGCGCATATTTTAATTTATTAAAGAATGCTTATTGAATTTTTCGGCGTCTACTCATAGGTGGAACATTTTAAAAAAAGTTTTGCCGCGGATAATAAACACTTTACAGAAAAAAAAAAAAAAAAAAATGTGCTGCTAAGAACACTTAGCAGTCTTGTAGAGCTGAGGCGGTTAAGGCAATACGTTCTCGGTTCAACCAAATAAACAATGCTCTACTTGATATATCTCTAGGTGAATCTCAGAAATTTTCTGTAAAAGTTTTACAATGAGAAGTAGAAAGCAAAATTAACGATTTAGAATTAATTTTATTAACATTTATCTGGGATAAAATTCTTTTCAGAATAAATGCAAGCAGTAAATCCTTATGAAATCCCACTATGCCAAACCCGTTTGCGACAAACATTTTTTGTAATTTATTTAAATATGTTCATGAGCTAATAAATGTATTTCCTAAAATAGAAGTGGGGCGATTAAAAACGTCAAAGATAAAAGCTTATTCCGATTCCGGAAAAAGGTCCCGAAAAAGGTGAACCTGAAAGGGTTTTTTGATAAAGTCCATCATGATGAGGAAGATGGGTCGCAAAACATTTGTATGTGATTTGTGACAAAATATCTTTTGACATTTTATGATAATGCTGAAAGTTACACTTTTTATATTTCCTGTGTTATTACTCAAAACACATTTCTTTATCATTTTGTATGCTAATATTTAAATTTATTCAATTTGCATTCGTTTTCTTTATTCTCCGAATAATTATAAAATTCTTGATATTAATTCAAACATTTTTACAATAATTCAAAAATATAATAATTAATGATATTACATATACATATATTATATATGCCTGTTGCAATTAAAAAAAACATGCGATTTCCTTCAAAATCCTACCCCCTCTACTCAAAATTTGTACTTTAAATGACATTATTTAATTTAGATAAACTGTTTATAAACAAGTTAGCTAGTTGATTTTTCAGCAGATATATATCCTAAATTGGGATTATGAAATTTTATTACTTCAGAAACATGCTCAATTTAAAAGGATTTTTTGTTCTTCATTTAAATTTCGCGGTTTTCTTCATATTTCAGGAGGGGCCAAGGCCCATTGACCCCCTCTTTATATATCCTCTGTGGGAAGAAGTTGTAATGAAAACTGATGATTTTGCGGAAACATGGAATCAGGAAAACACTACTACAGTATTTTAGGATGGTAATTTTCTTTGACTTTCAGTGAAACAGCCAAGAAATATACTATGGTTACGGACATATCTCAGTTTGTTTCCATCATTGACGTATTAACAGAAAAAGTTTGGAGTTCTTTGTTTGATTTTAAAACAGCACGTATTTGCCGTTGCAGATTCAGTCAGTGGCTGCGCAGCAAGAACATTTTCCTCCCATGACGCTACTATAGTCAAGCAGCTTATTAAAATCGAAAGTGTTAATTATCTATACATTAGTATCATTATCGGAACTGTTAGCTAATTGCAGTCAAATTTGTGTACCTGGTAAACCTATTTTTTCCTCTTACTCAACAGATATAGCCCTTCCCTAAAGTGAAATGTCACCTTAAAGTGCACTATTTTAAGGGCATTTCAGACACATAATAAACGCAGTTATGGAATGAAAAGTTTTCCAAGAGTCAATTTCTACAAAGGTATTCAGAAGCTTTATGAAGGTACCAAAACATATATAGTATAAAAACATTTATATATATATATATGCAGATGGCTAAAAAAAAGATAGAAGTTTTTTTCTTTAAATCTCAGCCTTTTACAAACTCAGATCCAAAAATTTATAGATGCACAAGTCATGTTTCGTTGAAGAAAATGAAGATTCTTCAACATCAGGTGAGAATACCTTTCATTAAATGGTGAAGCAACACAGCTGTTCTAGATGTCTGATAAAATGGCCGTATTAGTTCT